AAATTTTAGTTGTGCTATATATATATATATATATATATATATATATATATATATATATATATAAATATATATATGGAGAGCACAGGTTAGTATTTTTACCTATTTAAACACAACTGAATTTTTAAACCTGTGTACGACTCGTGTTCACTGTGTGGCGACCTGGTAGGTTTGGGTAAGCTCGCTCGAAGAGGGTGAGTGCCTCATTACTTTTCCTAGCCACAGAGTTACTTAGTTCTAATATTGAGGACGACGGCTTAAATAACTGATTATACTTGGCGAGTGACGTTAAGTTAATTTTTAACGGATGCGTGGCCGTGCCACGTCCCAACTTTTTAATCAGCAAAAGCGAGAATAAATTTCATGGCGAGATGACGTAAGTAGTCAGAAAAGAAACTCCTCTTGGTGCAAATTTTGTGAAAATGTTGAAAGGCAGTGGGATGTAGTTTGATGCCATTTGTGACACGTAGTGAGTTGAGATGGAGTATATAAATTTCAATTTTCTAATGCAATTTGTAAGGTTGACTATAGAGAACTGGAACACTACTTGACGATAACTCGGTGTTATGCGATCAATGAGGACATTGATGGGGACTGTCCGGAGAGTATGTGCCATTCTGCTAGACTGGCACAGCGCAACCTTCCAAAACAACGCGGAAATAGAATTAGAGGCCGTAATAGTTGAAAAGTATTGCAAAGGAGGGTCCGAACATTGTATGATACGAGTAGCAAAAGAGGAAAGGGTCAATCTATCTCCAATGGATTTAATATAGAACTGTCACCAAAACACAAAAAAAATAAGATAATCGAGCCGTGTTTTTAATAGCAATCACGTAGTCTGAGGATCCGAGAGCCAGCTCTGTGGTTGTGATCGCATGTAAATGAAAGCTGATTAAAAGTCGTTTGATTGATGGCCTGAAAAAAGTAACTTTTTACCTAGCCCGAGACAGACCAGAAAATCAACTGGCTAGGTCGAGACAGTGAAAAACGAGTAGAATTAAGGTAACTGACGCATGCCAGTCGTTAATAGGTACTTTTTCTACGCTCCGTCACTGTGTAGTATTTGGGCGAATGTTATATTGAAATCTTTTACTGAAAAGTTTGATTTTGTCATATAATATGCGTTTAAAAGGTATAATTGTTTTCACATTTTTTCAGCTATTTATTTAAAGTTGTAGCTTAGTGGGCCGTGTTGATCGGTGGCTTAAATGTGGGAACCTTTTTGTTTTGATGCGTTGAACTTATAACTGTAATGATGTAATCAATCATTGATTTGGATTGAGTTGGTGTTGATTTTTTTGCCACTTCTAGTTTATATGGCTGTTTTGTAGATATATGGTTGCCTTATAAGTTTCTCACTCTGAAAAGGTTGATATGTATAGTAGCAATATATTGATCGGAAAATTAGTCACAAGTTATGTACATGTGTCATGTTTTCGCTCTGGAGCAAGGCAAACCAAATTAAACAAAAAAGTGAAGAAATTGAAATCAAAAACTACAAGCGAGAAGGACGTATTTAGCCATGAAAAAGCACCGCCTTTCACTACGCGTCTCAAGCATATGCTCGCGCCTACAGCTCTAACCATTGGGTGTTGTTATGGAATTGAGTCACTGTCAAAACCTTTGTGTGATTACCTTTTTCCTGCAAAAAATATCCACCTAAAGCTCGATGAGTTCTTCAATTCAAATAGAAGCTCTCGCGCAGGACCCATGGCCGAATGGTGGGCGAGCAAATCGAATGTCAGCAAGTTAGCTTGGAGCTTTGCATTTGTCAATGGCGCAGTGTTCGTATCTTTTCGCATGTTTCCACGACTTATGCTGAATTTGTTTGTGGCTGGTCCCAGCTTTAGTACCCTTGCAATCCCGCTGGCCATGTTTTCGCACATTGGAGGGCTACATTTCTTAATCAACAATTACGTTTTAATTCATTCATCGAGTATATGTAGCCTGTCTCTAGCACCCGAAAATTTCATCGAACTGTATTTAGAAGCAGGAATTGTAACGAACTATTTAGTAGTTGCGTCTAAAATACTGTCTGGTTCCTACAAATATGCTGTTGTGGGTGCCTCTGCTGCTATATACGGTATATTTGGATATATTTCCCAGGCCGAGCCGAATGTTAACGTGGGTATATTGCTCCTATCTGATATTTTTCCGAGTCTGAGATTCCAGATGCAACACTTGCCAGGGGTGGTTCTGTGTGTTGAAGGTGCCCTCTTTATCAGCAAGTTTTTTGTTTCTGCGATGAAGAATAAAAATCCAATCGCTCACGAAGCACACATCATAGGAATGCTACTGGGAATGTTGTACTACAAAGCACTAAAAAGTCAACGGGAAGACAATGAAGAATAATCAAGATGAAACAGTTAATATTTCAGTTACCTTCTAAAATTTAGTTACGTTTGCTGTTATAAATATCACTGTCAATTCAACTATAAGACATTACAAGTGCTCTTGTTCTTTTATAAAGAGTAGCTGTAATGAAACGATTTGAATTGATGATCTAATGAAAAGTCGCGAGTGAAGTGGCGTCATGTACTAAAAAGTTGAATGGTGGGCGATAGCACAGCGCTATTGGGAATTCCAGGCTATTTTTACACTTGCGAGTAGCCTGGCGTAAATAATTCTGTTCGCAGAATGACGAATTACTCAAATTGGTGGTCATCTTCAATTTCGCCAAATATCAGACAAGTTTTGAGCTTGCCTGTATTTTAAAATCCTGCTATTCGAAATTCGTTTTTTTTAGATTGTAAATTTATTCCGATTTCAGGATCTCAATTTTTTCTCTTTTTTTCCTTATCGTCTTAGCGGCGTCATTCTGAGTCATTTGATGAGCAAAAGAAGGTTGTTATCTGATTGCTTTGTCAGGAGACTTGAAAACATTTTTTGAGTCTTTAAGTTTTTAATGAATTTTTTTTCGGCTGTGTTGTCGCTTTTTACGTTGTTTTTTCGATATTCAACTAGCATTCAATTGTCTTACTTAATGTCTTAATGTTTTTCTTAGAAGGGAGTTTGTTCAAGTTTCGGTCGATCACTCTTTACCCTTGCGATAGAAAGGGCATTGCAACCAATTTCTCGACATTTTTCCCGTAAAGAAATTTGTCCACATGACTCATTGAACTGGTGGTCCTGAGTTCGAATCCTAATAGGACCTATTTTTTTCAAACGGTAATTTTTCTGGTTCAAATAAAATTCGACTTTTTATTTGTCTGCTTGATTTGTCGGCTTAGTTGTCGCATCTAAGAATCGTTTATTTTAGCGGTAAAAAATTTTAACTGCAGTTGTTTTAAGCATTTAAAAAATCCGGCCGAATCATATTTTGCTTTTCTTATTGATTGTAACTTAACCAGCTCGATTTGTTAAGTGTAATGAACGTAGTGAAGACTCTTATATAGGTCTTGCTGTTTTTTTTGTTTTCTTTTCAGGAAAGTCTTAAAAGTCTCTAATGACTACAGATGGGCATTCATACATATTGAAGCATTTTTGAGTGCTTTTAGGTATATATGCACTTTTTCACTTCAATAGAAATTCCTCTGCTGAAAGTGACGTATAGTACTCCAAATACGAACGTGGAAATGGCCCGAAAAAACGTGAATGATTTCTAGTTTCGAAAATGGAATTTGTTTTTTAGATATCCATCGGAATAAAAACTTTACCTGATAATCCAGTTTCCTCAAGTTGGGTTAATGTTATCAAAAAAAGCGCCAATGATAAATCGTTCTAGAAATTCAAAGAGCTTAAAGTGCATCTATTTTTTTTTCTTTGAAATTCGAAAGTTGAGGTTTTTTCAACTACGGCAAGGTTTTTTATGTTCACTCTTTTGCGTTCATTACTTTTTTTCAAGCTTCGATTGGCTATGTTTGTAGATGTACTTAATTCAAATTTTTTTGGAAATAGTTTTTTTCACATAATAATAATAATAACAAAGGATTTAGGAATATAATCCAAGGGTTCGCATAAAACCCAGTCATTGCATTGTTCAAAGTTTAGTTTTCAATTATAAGTGTAAGTTTCTTCAGGTCTCATTGTGCCTGCTTTCTCATTTTCTGTCTGCTAGCTTGATTGCTAAGTTTGTATTATACCGCAGCTGTTAGAAAGCTCCGCTTCGTCTCTGATAAATTTGCATTCATAATCATTTTACTTCCGCTATTTCACTCAGTCGTTTATTCCTTCATTATCGACCTTTGATGCTCTATTACGCTTGCTTTGTGAAAGCGTTTTTGAATCTGGACATTTTTTTTTTCAGTTTAGCACCTAGTTCATCAAAGTTTATTGAATCAATTGACACCTCGATTCAAACAAAATCTAAATCAAGGCAGTTATCTGAACATGGGACGTTAAGTAACGCACATGCCTGCGAAGACAAAGGATCGTTGTTCGTTTTTTTTCAAAAAGAAGTTTTTGCTTGACTAAAAGGTTTTTTTTGGCTTAGCTGCCACAGCAGTCGGCTAAGTTGCCATTTTTTCTTATGCAATTTTGTTATTTCAGAAGAAAGCAATAAAGAGCGTTTTGGCTAATTTAGATTATTGTCTGTATACTTATGTTTGTCTGCTTAGTTCCGCAGAAAGGACTTTTTTGAAAACTTGGCTTTTGTATAGCATTTCCAGAGCGCTTTGTAGTTTCTAATGGTGCTGGCAGTTTTGTTCCGGATATTTTGGGCTTTTGTTGCAATTTATTGACAAAAACGGTTTTTGGATTTTTTTTGTTTTGATTTTGATAACATTCTTATTTGTATCGCAAGTGGTGCGAAGCTCACCTTCGCCTCTGTGTTTGACATCTTTTTCTGCGGAATATGCCTCATTTTCTGTGGTTAGTTTGCCATACGTTTTGTGTTGTTTCGCAAATGGTGCGAATCTTCATTTCGCCTCTGTGCAAAAAATACGAAAATGATTTTATATTCAAAACATGGTCGCTTCCATGGGCAAGCTATTTTTTAAGTACCAGCCAAATTACGGTGCATTTAAAATGTTTGTGTTTTTGGCTGTAATTTTGAAGGTGTTTTCAGATAGTCATAATCAGATGTCATGTCGAGTGAAGAGATGTTTAAACAGATCTCTAGTCGCAACGGAGGTGCTTCGTCTTATAGTTCTAATGTGAGCTCAGCGTTCTCTTCGGATGGGAATTCTCTAGTGAAAGGAAGTTCAGCAAAAGCTATCAATGAAAAGAAGATAGCAAACGCAGCAGAAAGACTGCTGGTGGTTGTAATTTTGACAATCTGTTGCATTGAGGGTTTCATTTCCCGTCTGTTTGCTGTCATTAGATTCGAAAGTATCATTCACGAGTTCGACCCGTGGTTCAATTACCGAGCCACATCACAATTAGTGGAAAATGGATGGTATGAATTCCTGAACTGGTTTGATGATCGGGCTTGGTACCCTCTTGGACGAATTGTTGGAGGAACTGTAAGATCTGATTTTTTAAATTCATTAATTTTTTTACTTGATCATTTATCAATACGAAATCATTGCAAATTGTCTCCTTCAAAAGTGAGACATTCTTTTTTCCTAAGTGAAGAGCATAGAGAAGGAACAGGGATTGGCGATGTTTGTTTAAGGTGTATCCGGGGTTGATGATAACATCTGGTCTTCTCCATCTGATCTTGAATGGACTTAACTTCACTGTGCATATCAAAGATGTTTGCGTCTTCCTGGCACCTCTTTTCAGTGGATTGACTGCCATAGCAGCTTACTTCCTCACAAAGGAGATCTGGTCTAAGGGAGCTGGACTTTTGGCAGCTTGTTTCATGTGCATAGGTTAGATAATTGCGACATAATAGCAGTTTACTATGATGCGTAATTTAAGCTAAGACAAAGCAATTTTGAGGAGCTTAATTGGGTGATCCTACAAGTGGTAATCAAAGTGCTGGAGGTTCTTTAAATTGGTGTTGACTAATGATTTTGTTTAATAGTACCTGGGTACATTTCGCGATCGGTGGCTGGTTCTTATGACAACGAGGGCATCGCCATCTTCGCCCTGTTGATCACTTATTACTTCTGGATCAAGTCGCTCAAGACCGGATCTGTCATGTGGGCATGTTTCACTTCCGTCTCTTATATGTACATGGTGAGTAGTTGACTGTATCAGTTACGAAGTTGAAAGGAACTGTGTAGGTTTTTTTTTCGCTCGATTTTGCAGTACCGCAAAAATATGCGTAAGGGGTTCAATGTGGTATAATATTAAAGCCCTATTTGTTCGTGATAGGTATTTTAAAAAATAGAAGGAATTTGTAACAGTGTCGAGATAAACTGGTCTATTTAGTCTTAGCCGACTAAGTATATTTCTCAATATAATTTTTTCATGCTTTGATTGCCTTAATTTATTTCGTTTGTCAGGAAAAAGTTTGATTATTCGGGGTTTGACATTTTATTTCTTTTCAAGTTCAATTAAAAGTAATTTGCTAAAAATAAGTGGAATTTAGGTCCTCCAATTACCAAGTGCAAATGTCGCCAAAAATGTCCAGGACTTAGTTTCGAATGTGGGTTTCAACTTAAGCGCCTGTGGTTAGTAAGCTTTATCAAATCGGAACATCTTATGTTCCAGGTGATCAGCAGAATAACTGAATCGTTTTCCCAAATGTCGATTTTTGTCAGCAACATATGTTTTGAGCATGTCTGCATTTACAATACCAGTTTTTTCATCGTTTTTTGAAATTTTTTGACTTTTTTCTCGAACTTTCCTCCAAATTTGATTTTTTTTGGGTTCAATCAAAAGTTTACGTGAATCTCTTCCGCATAGACGGCTACGCCTAATTTTTTTTAAAAATAATGAGCTATGATTCTTGGAAATGTCAAATTTTTGGTTGGTTGACCTGGCTTTTCTCGTTAACTATTCTGCCAAATCTGATGTCATTGGTGTAATCGAAACAACATATCGTTGAAAGGCTACCTTTATGAATGGCTGCGCCCTATGTTTTTAGAAGAAAATTATGGCCTTCAAAAAGTCAAAATTTGGAAACTTTGATTGTTTTTACGCTTGCGATTAGCAAGCGTTATCAAACTAGAATATAACTTTTTTCCGGGTTAACAACTTGTTTAACAGAATCATTTGTATCACTTGTATCTTGGTTCATAATGAATTCAAACTTCTTTGCGTTTCCAGCCACTTTAGCCTGGAGGTAACGATTATGCCTTGGACAGCAAAGGTCCTGGGTCTGAATCTGAGTAGGACCTGTTTTTTTTTTCAAACGGGAAATATTCAGTTTCAAATAAAGTTGTCAGCTAATTATGTGTCTGCTTATTTGTTGTCGGCTTAGTTGCCATATCTTGGAATCTTTTTTTTTACTGCGCGCATTTTTTTAATGTTGCTTTTAGTGTTTGATTTACTCCTACAATATGTAATTTTACTTACCTTGACTTCGTATTTCCTTCTTTGTTTTTTGTTGTTTCGCAGGCCTCAAAATCCCAGGCCCATGTCAATTCTGCCTGTTTTTCATCGGCCTAATGACCTAATTTTGGGTCGTTTCAAGGGAAACACAATTTTAACACTTCTCACCGCATTTTTCAAGTTGGTTGTATGTTTACCAATCGGTTTGTTGAAATTTATTTTTTTTCGTTATGCTGATTTTCCAAAAAGGGATATCAACTAAAAGACCGTTTAAAATAGAACGGTTTGGAAAAGCTCACTGCAAAAGTTACGCCCAATTTTTTTTAACACAAAGTTATGGCCCTCGGAATAGTCAAGTTGTTGATTTTTGACGATTTTGTCATTCTTTTTGACTTTTTTGATATTGTGGGTTCAAGGGAGTTAACGGGCACTGAGATGGGCTTCTGCATTAGCGGCCGCTCACAAAGTTTTAATACACCAAAAGTTATCGCCCTCGGAAAAGTTCATAGGAAATTTTTGCTTTTTTGACCGTTTTTCAAACTTTTTGAATATTCTTGAAAATTTCCCTGCCATAAGTGAGATTTTGGGTTAAATTCAAAGAAGGGGTTGTGGGAAGCTAACTATGTTACGCGACCACGCCCCAATTTTTTCCGACACCAAAATTTATGGCCCTCGGGAATTATTTGACCGTATCTTTTTTTTTTTGAAAGTTCTGGGTTCAATCGAAATTATAGGTTGTTTTATTTCCTGCTGCATGAGCGGATCCGCTCTGTTTTTTTTCTACCCAAAAAACGATGGTTTCGGGAATGACAATTTTTAAATGTTGACGGTTTTTTGGACTTTTCTCCGTTTTGTTACCGTTTTTTTGGACTTTTCTCCGTTTTGTTACCGTTTTTTTGGACTTTTCTCGCTAGCTATTCTGCACAATCTGATATCATTTAATCGAAACAATATGTTCTTGAAAGCCTTTGTTTGTAATTGGGCATGTCCAGTTTGTTAAAGAAAAAATTTATGGCCTTCAAACAAGTCAAAGTGTAGAAACTTACTCAGTTTTTTGGAAACTTATTGACTTTACGTGAAAACTACCGTGCCAATTCTCAGGTTGCGTTCAATCAAGAAACTCGGTTTTGGGAATCTTCTATTTTTTTAACATTTATTATTTTTTTCGATTTTTCAATGTTGCATCGCAAGTGGTGCGAAGCTGTGTTGAAACTTTTTGGATGAACTTGAAAATACCGTGCCATTTCTCAGGTTAAGTGCTCAATCGCGTAACCCGGTTTTGGGAGTATTCTATACCTGCTTTTTGCGCGACCACTACCTGCTTTTTGCAGGAAAGGTAAACGGATTTTGGAAATTTTCGAACTTATGACTGTTTTTAAAACCTTCGATTTCACTTAAAACTACACTATCAAATTTGAGATGAAAATTTCAATCGATAGAACCATTTGCTAAATTTTTTCTGCAAAAGTGGCGGCTCTATATTGCTTTGCAAAAGAAATATTTTGTCCCTGGGAAAATTCCAATTTCTCAAAAATTTTTTTACTTATCACTTATTTTAGTAAAGAAACAAATTAGGTTTTGGGCGAAATCAAATTTTTGAAATTACGTCCTGCATAAGTATAAAAAAAATTTTAAGAATTTCAAAAATTACCTCCAGCTTTAGCTGGGCTCCTAGTTGTTTTAATTGAGACATACTAAAATTTTGATTCACCTAGTTTTTTTTTTCAACATATTTCATTTTTTTGACTTATGTTTGTTTGTGTTGTATCGCAAGTGGTGCGAAGCACAGCTTTGCCTCTGTGTCGAGTTTTTTAAGTTGGTTTTCACCAAATTCGTTTTCTTATAAATTCATTCGGTATAAATTTCATTCGATTTTTTATTCGGTTTAAAAGTTTCGGCCTAGTGTTTTGAGGGGTTGCCTTAATTTTTTTTGGTTCAAAGGGTTGATCAAAGATTTTCGTCTTTGTTACTGCATTGTAATATTTTTAATGCTAATGTATCATTCAGTTTCTTTTTTCATGTTTTTCTCTAAATGAACTGTATTCAAGTTAAATCCAGATAAAAAAGAAATTTTTGATAGATCTAGTTTTCTCGATATTTTGGAAAATAAAATCGATTCTGCGGCCTCCGTCTAATATCCTGTTGGCTAGTTTGCCATGCTATGTTTGTTAAATTTAAATTGATGCAAAGCTCCGCTTCGTCTCTGCTAGATTTCCCAGTAGAATAAAAAAATTACTTATTGACCCAGTTTTTCTAATTGGGTTCGTTTTATGAAAAATATTAATGATCGAATATTCTTGAAATTCAAAGAGGACTAACTTCCTTTTTCATCTTCAAAATTCGAAAATTGAATTATATGAAAAATTGTCTCTCCTTTTTCCCCTTGATTTCATTGATAATTTTGCAACTTTCGTTCGACTATTTTACTGTGTACCAATGGTTAACATAACGGAGTGTTGCGGTTTTCTTTAAAACATTATTTTTGCCTGAGCCTGAAAGCTTTGAACATAAGTAAATTCGATTTAAACTTTTTTTCGTTTCTTAAAATTTTAAAAGTTGCTGATGATAGAAGTGTTTGGTCAATGATTTAATTTGTTTTTGTTGTTCACGTTCATGTTTCCTTGTTGTTCTCAATTTGAAAAGCACGGTTGTTAGATTACTCCCTGATCATTTGTTTTCTGCAAACATTTCTCCTATTTCTGCTATGATTTTTGGTTCAGTCAGAGATGTTTCTTTTCTTCTAGAAACCCATGTATAAAAGAATGTGATCAATGTTACGTTCGAACGTCCACTTCGAAAGGCGGAAAGGTTGCTTGGGCTGAGTGTTTCGTTTTTTTACTCTTGCGATAGCAAGGGTATTGCAATCGGGTACTAGACTTTTTTTTCCCGTAAACAACTTTGTCCACAGTTTTCAGCTGCATGCAGTATACAACATACATGCAGTATGTGCGTTGTATATTTGCTCTAATTGGTCTATTACTCACTGTTCAACCTTATTAGTGTTAGTCCAATAATTCGCAGTTCAGATTTTCAACATGTTTGTTTGAGTTTTCGACTTCATTTTCGTCTTCGTCGCTTTCGGTTTTACTTTTTGTCGGCTTAGTTTCCGCTTTGTTTTTACCATCCAACTAAATCGCTTATTTGAATTTCTAGTTTTTTTAACGATATAGTTGCTTCTACTTTTCTGATTTACCTTTGTTTCATTGTAATTTTATTATAACTCGGCATCGTATATATATACATATATAATTTTTTCGATTAAAAACTTTGTTCTGCCCAAATAATTTCGGCCATTCTTTTATCAGCTTAGTGACTTAATTTCGAGTTCTTTCAATGGAAGCATATTTTTTATGCTCATCAGTGGATAAGCTAAACATCATAATAGAAATTATAATTGAAATTTTTCATGACAACAATTTTTTCATCGCCTTTTTTCGGCTTAATTGGTTTTGGGTTATACTATATAGGCGTATCGGCCTCATATTGCGTCCTTTGGCGAGCGAAAAAAGTGCGTGTGTGCGTGCTTGTGTTTTGAGGGCGAGGGGGGCTTAGTAACTTTTTATTAGTCTTAACTTTTTTTCAATTTGTTTTCCCGTTTTTTTGGGCTTCTTAGGTTTCGGGCTATATTACATCAGCTTAATTGTCTCATTTTGTTTCATTTGACGTGCAAATAATGTGTTATGCGGGCGACGGGGACTTTTCATAAATCTTGTTGTTTATTTTTTCGGCTTAAAAGGCTTCTGCCAAAATATTTGTTACTGCTTGGTAAATCATCATCCGATGCTAATTTAATATTCAATTGTCTCGGCATGTTTTTGTTTTAAAACTAGCGTTATTGATTGTGATAGATCTAGTTTTTTCGACATTTTCGATTTTTGTTGTGTTGTATCGAAAGTAGCGCGAAGCTCAGCTTCGCTTGTGTGTTATTAGATATAGTTTGAACTAATTTTAAGCTTATACTAGGCTGTTTGGATGAATTTTTTGGAAGACTCGAATCTATTTTCTCGACATTAAGTCTAGACTGTTTCCGTTAAGATTTCAAGAAAATAATAAAAACGAAAAGCATAATCGCTCGTTACAATGAATTGACTTTTACTACCCAACATTAAAGCTTCAAGTAACACTGCATTAGCTAAATGTAATAAAGTTGCAGATTTAAATGTTAAGCTGCGAATATTATTACTATCACAATTGCGTTCGTTATTGAAAAAAATAGTTAAAATAAGGGAGTTCATTCCGAAACGTTTTTTTTTTGATAACGATCATTGAGGTTCCTCAAACACGATCAGACAATTTTTTCAGCTGAATGACATTTTGATTTCCTTTCAATAAATGTCAACTAGCGTTTGTATCGGAACAAATGAAGTGTAAAAATGTCTAAAATGAAATGAAATGATTAGTTGAGTAAGTAGCGATTTCGTTACGAAATTGAAGAACATGCTACCTTTTTGTTGAAAAAGAAGACGTTCATTAAACGAAGTGGTCAATGTGCAATCTTCATGCTGACAAAATAAAAATCATATCAATTTTTGGAGACGTATGCTAATGCAGGTTGTTTTTAGTATAGGGGTGGGTTTTGTGTGACAATTGGGGAGTTTTCATGTTCGTTTTCTTATGTCTACTGGATATAAGAAGAGCGTAGTTTGCTTAGAATTAGAAATTGCTCCTGAGAGGGTTACGATTTGCTATATTATTGAATCCAACGCTAAGGTGCGCAGTTGGCGTATAGGTAACATTTGGGCTTGTCCACAATGTCCTAGGTTGATAGTTGTAGTCCCGTCGGACTTTTTCCGCCAATTATATATTAGTTTTTTGCTCAATTTTTAGCGCTCAAAAATTTCGGATTTTTGGCCTATGTCATCTCGGTTTATTTGCTTCATATTCGCGTGTTTGTGTTTGTGTGTGCCTGGGAGCTATTTGAGTGTCAAACAATTTTTACAGGTCAAATTTTTTGTCAGACTGTTTTTGGACTAATCTGGCTTCGTAGATCTAGCTTTTTCGACATTTTAAAACGATTTTCGAATTTTAATTTTTCAGTTTAATTTCTACTTTTTCAATTCATTTCTGAGTAAAGATCCAATTGCACTCTTCAATAGTTCATGTTAAAGTAGAAATTAATATGTTGAGGAATCGAGACAAAGCAAGTAGATGAATTCAGCCAAGGAGTTAAAGTGGGAAGTTTAAGAAACGAATCTCCGTAAACGAGTCGAAATGAGGAAATAATTAAACATGAATTAGATAAAATACGCAGAAAATGGAAAAGGCAAAAACCAGATCTAATTACTGACAACTTCTCCAAATATTGTCTTAATGAGTAGTGAATGAATCTAACCGCGTAATTTTGGAAAGCTATTTAGAGTCATGAACGTAGTGAATGCTCTCATAGGTCTTGGTGATTTTTTTTCAGGAAAAAGTGTTAAAATTTGTTCAGGCTCAAATTAAATTTATCGCGGGATGACTTTTGATTTCATTTTTACCCTTGAGATAGCAAGGGTGTTGCAATCGGTTGACTTTTTTTCCCGTAAACAACTTCGTTCACAGATTTCAGCATGCATGCAGTACACTTCAGCACTTCACAGATTTCAGCATGCATGCAGTCGGCTTACTTTCCGCTTTGTTTTTACCATCCAACTAAAAAGCGTATTTGAGTTCAAGCTATTTTTTACATTATAGATGCTTTTAGTGTTCTAATTTACCGCTGCTGTTTCTTTGTAATTTTTTTAAAACCATTTTTTTAAATGATTTCGGCCTATAATTTATCGGCTTAGCGACCTCATTTCGAGTTGTACTCATCTGTGGATTGAACAAAATTCTTAACATCTTTGCTGGCTATGTTTTTATTGGCAATGAAGTGCAAGTACATCTGTCTGTTCTATACTATATTTAAATGCGAGTAACAGCTATCTCCCATTTTTAAGCATAATATTTTTGCATGTTTAACGAAAGAATTTTTTCATGTTTAAGCTATATCATATATTGCAATGCTTAAGAAAATTGTTCAATTAGTTTTTCGCAAGGTCATCAATTTTTCAGTATTTTTTTTCGAGGCCAAATTAAGTCTGTCTGTCTGTATACCTGCTTTTTTAATTAATTTGATTATGTCTGTCTACCCGTCGGCTAATTATTTAACTTTCATCTATTATCTATCTATTATCTTTTATTACATATTCAAATGCGGGCTTCACTATCTCGCCAAGTTTAAGCTTTTTCAATGTATTATTTTTTCATGTTTAACAAATGAATTTTTTTCACGTTTAAGCTATATCGAATATTGCAATGGTTAAGGTTTTTTTTCGATTTTCAGTTTGATTTCAGTGTTTATTTCATCAAGTTTAAAAATAGGAACCCAATAGTAGGATATTGTCAGAGTTTTCCCAGGTTTTGTGATTCTGGCCTCCATATATGAATAACCAAATCCTTTTGGTTAAACGAGATAGATAGGCAATTTTCGAGTTTTTTCAAAAAAATTCTAGAAAATTTAATTTCAAAAAATTTCTTAATATTTGAAACTTTCACCCTGTAGTTGGGTGCTGTCAGGGTAATCTCAGGGGTTCCGAATCTTGCCTCCAATTCTCACTTCTCAAATCCTTGTAGTTTTCGAGATATGACGTTTTTTATGATTTTTTCAAAAAAAATTTTAACTTAGATTTTAAAAAATTCCAAAACGTTGAAGATTTCAATCCTGTTGTTGGATATTGTAAGGGTACTCGCAGGGGGTGCGAATCTTGCCTTTGATTATGGCTGCTCAAATCCTTGTAGCTTTCGAAATATGACGTTTTTTTGGATTTTTTTCAAAATTTTTTAGAAAACTTAGATAAAAAAAATTTCGCAAAACTTGGAATTACCATCTCTGTTCTGAGGCTCTGTCAGGGTACTCTCAGGAGTTGCGAATTTCGATGTCAAAGATGACTACTCAAATCTTTGTAGTTTTCGAGATATGACGTTTTTTATGATTTTCTCCGAAGTTTTCAAAAAAACTTAGTTGAGAAACTCCAAAACTTTGAATATCTCAATCCTGTTTGTGGAATCTTTGAGTTTACTCTCAGGGGGTTGCGAAATTTGCCTCTGAAAAGGACTGCTCAAAATCTTGCAGTTTTCCAGATATGACATTTTTTGTGATTTAAAAAACAATTTCATGAAAATTAAATTAATTTTTCAAGGTTTGAAATTTCTAGCCTGTAGTTGGGGGACTGTCAGAGTAATCTCAGGGGTTGCAAGTTTGACCTCCAATTAAGATTGCCCGAATCTTTTTTTTAAGAGATAAGACGATTTTTGTGATTTTTTTTTGGAAATTTGCAGAAAACTCAAATTACAAAGTAATTCGTTAAATTGAAATTCCCAGCCCTGTAGCTGTGTACTTTCAAAGATTGCGAATATTTCAATCAAAAAAGACTGCTCAAATTTTGGTAGTTTTCGAAATGTGAATTTTTTCTGGTTTTAAAAAAAATACTTCTTTCAGAAAATTTAAGGTGAACTTTCTCAAAATTTGAATTTCCCAACATTGTAGTTGGGTACTGTGAGGGTACTCTCAGGAGTTGCAAATCTTGCGTCCAAATGCGACTGCTCAATTGCTTTCAGCTTCCCTGATGTGACGTTTCTTAATTCATTATAAACTTAGATATAAAAAAAATGTCGCAATCTCTTTATGGTTTTTCAAAATTTGAATTAAAAAATCGAATGAAAAATTTTACAAAATTTGAAGTTACTCTCAGGAGTTGCAATTTTTGCATCCAAATGCGACTGCTCAATTGCTTTCATTTTCCCAGATGTGACGTTTCTTAGTTCATTTTAAATTTTTCGAAGAACTTATATAAAACTTCACAAAATTTTATGGTCACAAAAGTTTATGGTTCTTCAAAATTTGTATAAAAAACTTGAATAAAAAACGTTGCAAAATTTTTAATTACGAACCTTGTAATTGGGTGCTGTCAGAGTACACTCAAAGAATAGTTTTTTGAGTTAATGAAATTTTGAAGCACCGGAGGTGCGGTACACGCTAGTAACATTTATATGCATTTATCCTCATTCCTGAATCATACCACAACCTGTAACTCAGATCTTGAGAAATTACGTACTTATTTACTGATTTTTTTCGTGATGTTCTTCATGTTATAAGATCAGTCTACTTTCTTTCCGTCTTGTCTCGCAAAGTTCTGATTTTCAGTTTTCCTATAAAATTTGTGTTCAGTGTTTCTGTATTTACCCTTTTGCGTATACTATACTTTCAAATTTTACAGGCTTTCTTATTTTGCATGGCAAGTGGTGCGAAGCTCCGCTTTGCCTCTGTGTTTCAATATTTTTTAGATTCCATCTCAAACATCATGAAATAGTAATCCGCTCAATTGAAGCTCTTTCGCTGCTGCCGATTATTAGCTACTCAAACATATGTATGTCCAAAACATAATCCAAGCAGAAGTTGTTTTCTGGTTAAGGCAAGTGATTTTTGGTGGCTTGCTCTTAGGTGCTTTATTATCGGGACCCCCTACAACCTGATACATAATTTTGCTGGTCGTGAGAGCTTTTTCTGTTCTTTATATCTTGTGAATGATATGTTTAAGTAGATTATTTGTATGTGTTTGTGTTGCTAGGTGAGTGCTTGGGGAGGCTATGTCTTCATCACCAATCTGGTCCCTCTTCATGCATTTGTGTTGGTGCTCATGCAGAGATACAGTCACCGTCTCTATGTTGGTAAGTCGTCCACATCGCTTTTTGAGCTTTGAAGCTACATAATTATGACTGCAATTGGTCCTTTAACTGATTCCTGAGCTTGACGCTGCTATAATAACTTTTTGGAATGCTTCTTTATTGCAATATCCTGTGTAAAATGATATGCGGCCCAAATTATTCAGCAAGTCAAGCTCTGTCAATTGAAGTTTACAGGCTATGAATATGGATAACGGCAACGAGTGCAAATTAATTCATAGAAAGTAAAAATATAAATGACAGAACAAGTACTATTCGAATATCTTTTAAATCATCAAGTTATCTTTTTTTCGAGAGTTTCAAAAGATCAAAGTCTAAATGGCCATCAGGGGTAATCTAGAAAACGTCACCTAAGAAAATGTCTACTTTCGTAGGTTGAACAAACTGATATTACGAACTCTCGTTAAATACTACAAGACTATATTAAGGCAAAACTGGCCATTTATTTCAAGCTATTCAAGCAACTTGGTCATCTTGAAGTTAAGAATTAAGTGAGACAACGGCATTTTCAGACAATTTTTAGGGTCGATCAAGAGTACGTATCGTAAAATGGTGCCAAATATTCAAATCCTGAGAGGGAAGGGCGTTCGCACTCGCTCAACCTCGCATCCTGGTTGTCATTTGACGTTGGTCACTTCGGTAACCTTGTAATGTGCGAAGAAACATATGGCATTTCTGTGTTTCAGCATTCTCAGTGTGGTTCATCATGGGTCTGCTGTTGTCGATGCAAGTGCCTTTTGTGGGGTTCCAACCTGTTCGGACTTCAGAACACATGGCTGCCGCTGGCACATTCGTGCTGCTGCAGGCATACGCTTTCCTAGCCTATCTGAAGACTAAGGTAAGCAACTAAACAGCTATAGAATTTTTATAATATTTCAAGTGTATCATTTTCATCTGAAATCTTAAGGAAACTGATTGATTTGTAAACTAAAGAATAATTGCTATGAAGACTCTTCCTATCAGATGTGCTTAATAATCTTCCCCGTTTTGAATTTTTGATAGTTTGAAAATCACTTCTATGGTATGAAAAACATGAAAAACCTAAAAATGAGAATAGAATTTTTGAATGGCGTAATTTATAAAAGAAATTATATCAAAGTTAATACATGCAAGGGGTGGGTGGGTATTCTCAAGTAGATATTTCTCAGTGCTCCACGATTTGTTGACTAAATCCTTATTAATAAGTTTTAATTCAACCAGTGTCACTTTTCCTGGCTTTTTTTATTGCTTGGACATTTGAGCTGGAAAATCAAATGATGGCTAGAATAATACACTCAGTATGCATTGCTGAGTGAGGAATCTCCCCTATAAACCTTCGGATAATTTAATTAGCTTCCAACGGAAATTGAATATCTGCAGCAACGAGTTTCCGAACCTGAATGTGATCGCTAGATAACTGGAAAACCAAAGCAACTGGCGAAATAGAATGTTTGATGGTTTTCTTAGTAGCGTCTATTTTCCTGTGGAATCTAATGTGACGGCAACAGTACACTAATTAACCTATTCTAGATCATATTTGTATAAGATAAGATAAAAAACGCGTTGATACGCTTTATAAGAGTTATGAATGTAGTGAATGCTCTTATATAGATCTTGGCAATTTTTTTGTTTACTTTTTTCAGCAAAAAATTGTAAAATTTGTTCAGGCTCAAATTTAATTATTCGCGGGATGACTTTTAATTTCTGTTTAAGTTCGTTTCCTTTGTTGAAAGGAACACTATTGAACAGCAAAAGTGTAAAGGTCATGAAAAACGTAAACATCTTCTAATTTCGGAAATGGAATTTAATTATCAGGTTTTCCAGCGAAATAAAAAAATATACCTATTGATCCAGTTTTCCCAAATTGGGGAAATTTTATCGAAAAAGAAGCAATCATAATTTGCTCTTGAATTACAAAGAGCTATACGGCCATATAATTTTTTCTTTGCAATTCGAAAGTTTAAGTGTTTTTTTTAATTCCGTTTTCTCGCGTTCATGACTCTATTCCAACTGTCTGTTGGCCCTTTTATACCACTTATCAAGTCGTTGATAACACTTGCGAAGCATAGTGTGCTAGTACGAACTTTCTTTTCTGTCCAACCTAAGTCGCAAATAAAACTGTTGCTTTTGGTGGCACTTTTGAGTTGGAAGGCTGCGGTAGCAGTATAAAATCATATATGCTTTGACATTTGAATAGTAAAAAGTTAACTCAGCTGATGCATTTTTAGTTCATCAAATGAACCGAAAAAAATTATTTGTTTCAAACAGCAGTACAATGATAAAAGGCTCGATTTCAGAATTTTTTTTCAATGTATCTCGTAATTTTTTTCAAATGCATAATTTGGCTTCAAGCTTTCCAATTTATTATATGCAAAATTATGTCTTTTTTGTATTTGGTGCTACTTTTGCTGCATCGAATTGTCAATTTATTAGCATATTTAGCTGCGTTTTTGGGGAATTTAAGCATCCCTGGCTGAGTGGTTGGTGTGTGAGACCCAAATTTGGTAGGTCACAGATTCGAATTCGACACGTAGCCGAGTTTTTGCTAATTTGAGGCTTATTTCAACTTTTTCATATTTCAGTTGATAGAGCTGCTTTTTGGTTGTGTTCTTTTAAGTGTTTGCGAATCGCAACTTCACCTCTGTGTTAAAATTTTCAAAACAATAGTATCAATATATTGTTTTTACCAGCTTCACTTTTCCTGGCATGTTATATTGTGAGGACATTTAAGCTGGAAAATCATCTTGTGTTGCGAATAATACATTTAGCTGCTTTAGTTAAATAAGGAATCTCATCTACATTGAAGCTGCATTACAATTATGCTGCAAATGATATGCAAAAGTTAATGATGCAAATGATATGGATCTTATGGAATCCGAGTATGAAATTTTGACCATTGGTGTCATTCATAGATTTACATTAAGTTTGATGCCCTATTGATTTGACAAATAGCAATGGCCTCTTCGAAAAGCTCTACCGTTAGGGTTGTCGTACAGCAGTTTAAAATCAAAGCTTTTTATTGGATCAGATGAGTTAATTACGACGCTTGCGATTAGAAAGCGTTATCAAATTGAAATATAGACTGTTTCAGGTTAACAATTAGTTTAATAATATCACTTGAATCATCTGACATCTCCTTTCATATAAAATCAAAGTCAAGGCGTTAACCCGCAAATGTGGCGTGGAAGAAACGCTCATGCCCGCAAATACAAAGGCACGTTTGTCAAAAGTTTTCTCCGTCTGCTTATGTTTCGGCAAAGTTGCAACAGCAGGGAGTTTGCCTATGACTTAGGCGTTTAACTAAGCGAAAATACTTTCAATGCATTCCGGTTATGCGCAATTCATTGCATTCCAAGAAATTTCGTTGAATTGATTTTAAGATTCGATGAACGTAGTTCATACTGATATATAGGTCGCCATGATTTTTTGAGGCGCAAGTGTTTTTTTTGTGGTTTGACTTTGATTTCTTTGTAAGTTCTCTTTATTTCCTTTTTTAAAAGGAAACCAAACTCCACTAGTGAAAAGCGAAAGTGTAAAGGTGACTAAAAACGTGATCAACTTCTAACTACGAATATGGAATTTAATTATCAGATTTCCCAGTGAATCAAAAAGTTTTACCTATTGATCCAGTTTTCTCAAAGTGGTTTAATTGTATCAAAATTGTCGATCATGAATTGTTCTTGAAATTTAAGGACATCTATTTTTTTCTCGGAAGTTGGTAAGTACTTGAAATTCAATTTTGAAAAAAAAAACAATTCAGTTTTTTGTTTGATTGCGTTCATTGATTCTATTCTAACTTTCTGTTCGCTATGTTTTTGTGTTTTTTTATTTACGATTTCCGAAATATTTTGAAATGTTTATTTGATCTTTGAATTCTTTTTTACTCGCTAGAATACAACAAAACGCCCCTAATCGTAAAATGTTTGAAGTTTTCATTCTTTGTGATTGCAATAGTTTGAAAAAATGATATTTATGCCAGTACTGAGGCGTAAAAAATGCTTAAATTATCCTCCTTCGCAAATGATTAATTTACCTGGCTTTAGTTTGGGCAAGTGAGCTTCTATGAAGCATTAAGTTTAGAGAATGGCTAGATTGTTCATTGTATTTCCAGTATTTTACAAAAGCATAGTTGTGTTATAGTACGAACGCTCTTTTTTCCAACCTATGTCGCAAATATTGTTGCGACGCAAATTTTGTTGTGACAGAATGTGTTCATTTTGATCATTATCCAGCCATTAAGTACAGTCAATGCTAAGGAAATTAACACAGACTATTATTGTACAAATAGCACTTTAGCTTCAAGTTATCATGGATCTGTAGCGTAGAGGTAGGGAAGGAGACCAGTCTCAAACTAAGAGGGTTCGAACCTGGGCTGGGTCGGATGTTTTAATGAACTTTTTCATATACTAGCTAAAATGCGCACGCTCTATAAATTGAGGCATATTAGTTGGTAAATTTCTTTGCAAATTGACTGGTACTGCTAATGCGTCAAGAAAATTAGTGGACTCAAAGTTTTACTCATTCAGTTTTTCCCAGTAGCGTTATCGGTCATATTTTTGCTTGTGTATGCGAAGAGCAACTTCGCATCTTGTAGAAAGAAGGCCAATCGAACAGCAAAAAGTCACGGAAAACGTGAAAGAATTTGAGTTTCAAAAATGAAATTAGATTTTTTTGAATTCCAACGAAATAAAAATATCTATTGATCCAATTTTCTCTAAATGCACAAGTTGAAGAAAACTTTTTAAAAATTCGAAGAGCTTCAACGTGTTATATTTTTTTCGAAGTTTTTAAACTTTCTCCAATCATGCGTTGTTTGCGTCTCCCAATGCGAACAACTCTTATTCTCGTCTCTGAAAAAAGAACGAAAAATTTTTAAGCGGAATTCAGGGAAAATTTAGTTGATAAAGTCATGAAATCCATAGAGGGAGCGGCTGAGCATGTCTGTGCACAAGAGAATACTAAAGTTTTATCTCGAGCGCCGTATTTAATAATTGATTTTTTTTGGTTATTTATCAGAAACCACAGTGCACCAAAAAGAATTAAAACCAGTTTTTTTTAGTTGAAGACCAGCTAATTGCAAGGTATTTGAATTTTCGAAGTGTCGAGGTTGTTTTGAAGTACAACTCTTTGAAAATTAAAGAGATTAAAAAGAAGAGATTAAAAATTTTTGACAGAAACTAATCAAAAATTGATACGGCTGACTTTAGATAATTTTTGATAAAAGTCTAGAATATGACAGAAATCACTGAATAGTTAGTCTATTGCTACTTTCACAGATTGGCAACAAAACAAGGTATAATCAGCAGTTGAATTAGAGATCAATAAATGAATAGTAAATCAACTTTATATATATGGAAAATTAACCGCTTGTTGAGATCTGATCTCGTGATATGACATTGCGTGACTTCGCGCGATGTCCAATCATGTTCTTAATTTGAACCAAAAAGTTGGAAGTGACTTCTCTATAGAGTGAGAAGTCATTTCTTCGAAACTTAAACTCCTCTCAAATTAAGTACTGCTTGATAGCCTACTCTAGTCTTGAGGTTAAGTTTTACCCTAACTCATACGATGTTTGTCGAGAGCAATATCAGTATTTTCTTTCCTAGCTAAAAAACCGGATTAATTTTCTTGCTCTGCTTTCGAATCTCCTTTCCTCCACTATCTTTGACCCTACTCTGAAACTTCTGAACCTCACATAAGCTTCTCGACTCCTTCTTACCCCGTTCTTTTAATGAAGTTTTTGGATGGGCTCATAACTCATTTTTCAGCTCAACATTCTTCGTTTTATCCCCATTTATGATCATATTCTAATTTTGCTTACCAGAAATCTCAAATGTCTCTTTTGTCTCTCTGCAAAATTAAGTCTTGTTGACTCTGAGTCCCAAAGTTTTGCTCTCGAAATTTCCAAATCCTATTTTCCAGATAAACTTTTCCTCGCTCAGTTAAAGGGTTTATGGTCCCATTTGCTTATTCAGTACTTGAGCCTTTTCCAAAAATTCACGTAGCTCCTCCATTATTAAGTCTTGAGACCGACACCAGGTTGTCTGAATTTCCTGTCGCATAAAAAAATTCATTTATTGAAATATTTTTGGAATTTCCTTGAATCTCTCACACTAAACTAAACTCTTCCTTAGCTTAAAGTAATAGACTCAGTTTTGTTGGCGTTTTCAACAGTTTCACTAAAATTTTTGTCCAGCTCAACAAATAATTTTTTATCCTTTATCATACTGCAAGTTGCAACTGAATCTATTACTAAATCATTCTCAAGCCTATCTGCTGAATTGAAAAAGCTAAAATGAGTTTGATTTGTTTCAGCAAACTGTTGGTTTTCCTTCATTTTTTCTAAATTCTTCATACAATCTATTGCTATGTCGTCTAGTCTTAAGCATCGGAAACATTTCACAGTAGCTTTATCACGGTTAACCTTTTTCTTCAGCTAAGATCTACAATGAGCTGCTTTGTGTCCTGTCTCATTACATCTAAAACAGGTTTTTGTCGTAGAAATAAACGGTTGTTCAGTCTCCGCGTTCTCATTACTATGATCCACGGTTATCAAATCTTTCTTAATTTCACTCAAAGACGTATCATTTTTGCTGAACTTTAATAAAGTACAAAAATTACTCAACTCTTTTGGAAGGCTTTTATGGGGTCTCGAAAACACTAAAGATTGGACTAACTCATGCCAAACATGCATTTCTTTTTCATCTGAAATTTCTCTTTCCTTTCCTGAGGATGCCTCTCTGTTCTACAGTACATTATTCCTAACACTGGTTGCAAATTTCGTCTACTTCATTATTGATAAATTTATTTAACTTGAGATGCAAAATTTTAGCCTCAAATTCATCTGTGAAGTACAAAAAAGTTTTTTTTTTCCTGAAAACTCATTTCTCTCTGACTTTGACATTTTTAGCCTAACCCGTATTGCTCTGAACAAATACCTTATGTTCCATGTACTTTTCAATGACAAAAACTCAGTCTACAGTATATCAACAAATATATCGCAGCACGTAACTTAAGTAATCATTTATCTCTTTACCTCAGTCTTATCCAAAACCTAAATGTCTGCGCACCGAATCACACATCAGCGATTTAGCAAATCTAAAGTTACTTCCCAGACTTCATATTTAGCAATTTAGATTAGCAGTATAGAATTTTTGGAGTGGTTTTTTTGGAGGTTCGATTAATTAAATCAAGCTCAAGATCAGATCTTGCAGAGACGCATTACGATCCCCTCAAGCAACAAAGAATCTACAATTTATAAAACACCAGATCAATTGAGTTTATGAAATTAAACAAATTGTCAGATTCTATCTCTCTCTCACACTTTCTATCTTTCTAACGTCGTGTCTATCTCTTTCTATCGTGTGCTTCTTTCAGCTTTCCTTGTGACTCCAGACTTCATCGTGATCACTGGATTGTCTCAATGCTCTGTCTCATGGACTTGTCTTCGATTTGTTTTGCTCTGTTGTCTATCTGCCAGTTCACTATTTTCGTTGTGACTTTTTCCTCGGTTGCCGATCTGCCATGCGACCTTATCTGTGTCACCAATTCACAGCAAGCTCTCTCAAAGTTTTTGTTAAGTCAGTCACTCTTGACTTCTGACCTGTATTTTGGCAGCTGGGCTCATAACCTTTCTTAGGTTGGCATCAAAACAAGGTATAATCAACAGTTGATATAGAGAACGATAAAAGAGTAGTAAATCAACTTCTAGATATATGGAAAATTAACCGCTTGTTGAGATCTTATCTCGTGATATGACATTGCGCGACATCGCGCGATGTCCAATTATGTTTTAAATTTGAACCAAAAAGTGGGAAGTGACTTCTCTGTAAAGTGAGAAGTCATTTTTCTGAAACTTACAGCTACAATTGGAATATGGATGCGAAATTCTCCAAGCAAATTCTAAAGCCATAATTCAAGTGAATTTTGTGAAACTCCATTTGCGTCTGATTTTTACTCAAGTGTCAAGTAGAACTCAATCGAACAAATGCTGCTCTACGAAATTTTTTGTAGTTATAGGTTTCAAAAATCTTTTTTTCTCAAAGAAATGTGAACTCAAACGGTACTGGAGTTCCTATCTTTACTTTTTCAAAACGGTCGTTTTGTGTTGCGTCTAGGTCTCATCGGAGCAGTTCAAAGCCCTGTTCGCATATGCAGTGATACTTTGTGCAGGAGTGGTGTTTGCAGGAGTGGTAGCACTCACCTATATGGGCTATGTGGCTCCATGGAGTGGAAGATTCTACTCTCTCTGGGACACGGGGTTAGTAACATTGCTTCATGGGGCACCGAATGCGCGAAAACTCTCAACCAATCAACGCGCCCGTTAAACTGTCCAAAACGTCATGCTCGAAAATTCTCAACCAATCAATCAACGCGCCCGTTAGATTGTCCTAAACTGCCAACGTGCAGCCATGGCCGAGTGGGATAAGGCAAGGGTCTTTCAACACGAGAGTCGTGCCTTCGAATCGCACTTCGGTCACGGCTGAAGCGGTCCTAGAGTCATCCGCCTCCTAAAGTTGGGACCTGCTGCGGCAAAATGGATGACATCCCAAGCCCAGGTTTGGTCGTGCATTGAGTAGGACAGGAGGTAACAATAAAAAAATGTCCAAAAACTGAATTTATCGCTCATTTCCGAACTTTGGAAAACTGAGCTCTGATTGATTGAAATTTTTTTCGCGCATTCGGTCCTTGGCAGTCGAGGGATTCCCTCTTTCTTCATGGCCGTTCATAACACAAATTACGGCAAATATATCTTCGCATTAACGATATTTACAAGCTTCAAGTCAAGCCTTGTATCAAACTCTTTCCTAGAGAAGGAAGTTTTTTTAAAGTGAGGTATCTGCAAAATTCAAAGTGAGGTATCTGTTAGCTGTTCTATTTTGATTTTGGTATAAGAGGTCTTCTATTTCAGCTACGCCAAGATCCACATTCCCATCATAGCCTCCGTGTCCGAACACCAGCCCACCACATGGGTGTCCTTCTTCTTCGACCTCCACGTGCTCGTCTGCGCATTCCCCGCCGGCATCTGGTTCTGCATCAAGCGAGTCAACGACGAACGAGTCTTCATTGTGCTATACGCTGTGTTCGCATCTTATTTCGCGGGAGTCATGGTAAGATTAATTCTCACCCTGACTCCGGTAGTGTGCATAGGAGCTGCAATCATATTCTCGGAGAGTTTCTCCAAGTATATCATCTCGGATTCGAACGAGTTGGCGGCTCAGAATGCGACGAATGACGACGAGGATGCATACGAGAATGGATCGGCGACTTCACCGAGTGGAGCGAGTGGCAAGAAGAATAAAAAGCTGTATGATAAGGCGGGAAAAGTGAAGCCGCCAAAGGAAAAGGAGGAGCTGAGTTTGGGAACTAATCTGAAGAGTGTCACTGTGTTCACGCTGTTGATCATGTTGCTGTTGTTTGCAGTGCATTGTACCTGGGTTACAAGCAGTGCGTACTCAAGTCCGTCAGTTGTGTTGGCATCCCAGAATAACGACGGGTGAGCTCTCTCTGTTATTTTCAAAGGCATCCAATAAATGGTTCTAAGCACGAATAAATTTTTTCCAATGTCAATGTATTGCGAATGAAAATGAACCGAGTTGGGCGAGGCAGAATTATTATTTTTTGTCAGTGGAAGTAAATAATTCTGCCTGTTAATTTTCTTTCGCAATACTACTGATACTATTGAAAAAACCTATAGTTATTCGTTCCCTAGGCAAATTATAGATAACAAAAATAGTCGAAACCTAGATATTATTTGTTCTATCAAAAGTTATGTATTATAATTTGCATTTTATTGTGAATATGCCAATTAAAATATTGATTGATTGGCAGGAGCCGCAACATTCTTGACGACTTCCGAGAGGCCTACTACTGGCTACGACGCAACACAGCTGAGGATGCCCGAGTGATGTCCTGGTGGGACTACGGGTACCAGATAGCTGGGTTTGCCAACCGGACCACACTAGTCGACAACAACACCTGGAACAATTCTCACATTGCAATGGTCGGCAAAGCTATGTCTTCGAATGAGTCACGGGCGTATGAGATTATGAGGAGCTTAGACGTGGACTATGTGTTGGTTATATTTGGAGGTCTAATTGGGTACTCTGGTGACGATATCAACAAATTTCTCTGGATGGTCAGAATTGCGGAAGGGGAACATCCGCAAGAGATTAAGGTGACATACATAACAATGATTAATTGAAGTCATTGCCGAAACTATATTTACGTCCGTAGTTTGCTGTTAGTCGATAATTTGAAATAATAAAAATTATTGCAAATCGAATTATTGGAGTCACAAAAAATAGTTTGAAACTGTGATGATTGGGTTTAGGAGAGCAATTACTTTTCGGACGCGGGGTCATACCGAGTGGACAATGAGGCCTCGGACACTATGCTGAACTGCTTGATGTACCTCATGTCATACTACCGATTCGGAGAAGTGCAGGTCAGTATGTAAATGCTCACAAAGACCCTTTCAACTAATATCGTCTCATATTCATTATGTATGAAATCAGAGTTAGGAAAAACATTCAGTTTTATTCCCATAGGAATTTTTAGGCATCATTCCAAAAACACATGTGCCATAAGCAAAATAGAGTTTAGATATAGATTTATTGACAAAGTATGGTAATTTGGATATTTCATCAGTGTATTATTAAAATGACATTGTACGACTAAAATCAAGTCGTTTTTTATCTTAGGAAATAATATCATGCTGAAAGGCGAAGACATAGCATAATTTTTATTAAAGTTTTATTGCATAAATTTAATTTTTTGGCATGTAACTAGGCTCGACCATTGAAAACTTTTTTTCGCCCCTTTTCTCTTTTTTTTCAGAGCCATGAACGTAGTTTAATTATCAGATTTCCCAGCGAAATGAAGAAGAATTACCTATTGATCCAGTTTTCTTAAATTAGGTTAATTTCATCTATACAGTGTCTATCATACGTTATTCTAGAAGTTCGAAGAGTTTTAACGTCATCTTTTTTCTTTGAAATTCGAAAGCTAGATTTTTTTCAAAAAAACAAGTCAGTATTTTTTTAAGTTTACTTGCGTTCATTGGCTTTTTACCAATTATCTGTTCATATGTTTATTGCGTTTTAAGCTGGACTTCCGCATGCCGGCTGGTTATGACCGGACACGAGGTGCGGAGATAGGGAAGAAGGACATCTCGTTCAAACACATGGAGGAAGCATTTACCTCCGAGCACTGGCTCGTCAGGATCTTTAAGGTCAAGCCCCTAGAGAACCGCATAGTGGCCAGAGAGAGGCCACAGTTCAGCAAACTGAGGAAGAACTTCCGCTACATCAGCAAGAAGGTACGTAGGGCAAGGAAAGAGTTGCTCTTTGAGATAAATTTTACGCAGAGGATGAATGAGGAGTTTCAAATGTCATTTGAACTCTTGGGTGAGTCGCAGTTAAAACAATGGTCATGGCGAGAGAGTCATTTTAGCGCTACCGCGACATTGGAAATTCTTGTTCATGTGAGTACTTATGCAGAGTACTTGCTATTGAAATATTGCAAAAACTTCATGAAGTTCTTCAAAGGACGGGGAAATTCTGGTACACAATGAGAAAAAGTTTTATAAAATAATGTTTGGGTTCCTGCTGTGTTCAGACTGACCGCAAGAAGAAGGGCTACATCAAGAACAAATCTTCAATAGTGAGAGGATCGAAGCCCCCGCCTGTGACTACGACGTCCACCACTCAAACCAGAACCAAAAAGTGAACAATCACAGCCGCTAAACCCAATCAGGCAGAAGAGAGGAGACAGTAGTAGAAACAGAAAAGATAGTACAAACTAACGTTAAAGGTCAAAACTGAAGTGAAAGAAAATTGTCTCCGGGAAAATCTTACTGGCACTAAACTTGTATTATACTGATTAAATACTGATATCAAAAAGCTATAATTTAACCATGTTGAAAAGCGAAGGAGCTGCGTTTTTTGTTATGGTTTTCTGTTTACCCATATTTGGCAGTTTGAAATCATTTATGCTTTATTACACATTTTTTGGAAGTTTGATTTTAATTGTTGTTGACACAATGATGTACTGTGGTAATACGTGTATGAAGAGAATTATTATTTTGAAACCAAATTCGTTATTTGCAAACACACCTAGTATCACGTAAACCATTAATTAGATGCCAATAAAGATTAAAGGATTCAGAGACGAGGGGTGTTTGTTAATATTAATTGGACGATAATTTGGTGGTGCTCCAATAGAATGGCCCTAATATAATAATTATCCCGTGAATTTTTGTCGTGAATCTCCTATTCCTGTTTGTGATTTGCTTTACTTATGTTATTCTGAATTCGATCCTCACGAAACAATCCAAAAACTGAGCTTAATAATCTATAGATGCCCAATAGTTTGGCGATCCTTGTTGTGGTATGTCGAATATGTTGATATTTTACCTGAAACTATATTTTGATGTGTGGTATTAAGTTGTAATATTCTGATTCTAGTTTTCTTGAGGATAGAAAAGAAGTAACGCAAAAAAACGGAAATTTGTGATGTGTTCTGATTTAAGAAATTTTTGTCTTGGTGTGCCGTGTTTTTTGTTGGATGCATGGGGCTTTAAAAGAAAGAAATGCAAAGTTTCAAATTATTAGCTGAGTGTCTCTTGATGGCTTTTTGATTTCGTGAGACTATTCCTACTCTCAAAAAGTTACAATTTCACACGAGGTTTTTCGAGAAAAAATAATGGTTTTTCGAAAAGATGATGGCTTTCTATCCTTAATTTAATCGGAAAAACGTGAGTTACTCAAATTTTAAAAATATGATTTACATTCCAAGATTTTTCAACTGAAATAAAATTAACTATGGATCCAATTTCCACAAGATGGGTTGGTTTTTTGGAAAAGAAGTCAAAAATAAAGATAAAAGATTCTTGAAATTGAAAGAATTTTGCCATGACATATTTTTTCAAAATGCGAAAGTTTGAAAAATGTTTCAATCAATTCATCATTTCTTTGGTTCCCTAGAGTTCATTCAAATTTTTCAAAAATTATTTTGGTTCTTATGATGCTGAATAATTTAGATGTTCAGGAATGCGATGATTTCTTCTTTCTTCTCAGAAAGTCATTACCTTTGTTTTTCGTTCAATTTAGACGGGTTGACTTCTGATTTTTTTTGCAGTGCATTTTCATATCGAAATGGCCTGTCACGCTCTCTGATAACAGAAGTTTCAAAACATCAGCAAGAAATTGAAGATAAGGTAATAAATGAAGTAACGTACTAACAAGTCAAGCGTTAAAAGGCATTCATGTTCAAGTTCTCGTGGCAGAAGAGATCCCTTGATCCAGTTTGACGCATTTGATTGGTGTAAAATATTTAAAGATCGATATTAAATAATTGAAAGCTTAAATGAGATTTGGAAATTGATTTAAAAAAATAACTTGTTTTCTCGAAGCATCCACTCTGTTTCTAGAGCATCATATTTTGTTTGTTGGTCGATACTTCAATTAATTGAAATTAAGTTTATTTTTTTGTCAGTTTGACAAACGACATTAAAAATTTTCAAAGGTTTTCTCATTGTCTAGAAAAAACAATTTGAAATTTTTTTAAATTTTTTAGTCCGATTTTGAGCATACAAAGCAAGCAAGCATGCGTAAAATTGGCTTTGCATAGAAGACGGGTAAACCTTTTCAATCCCTGAAAACTTAAATTTGCTCTGGTTGAAATAGTTTTCGAGGTTTTCTAGCACCATTTTGGGATCAGAAAAAAAACTGCACTTTTTTTGAAACTAAATTTATTTAGTGATTTTTTTTGTGTCATTTTTTCAACCTAAAACTTGTGTCAATCTCGCCAATTAGTCTTTTTTTACCAAACCACGCACAAAAAGAATGATATTCATTTGAAAAAAAATGTCCAAAATATGGTCGGAGCACTCTGTGCTACTTGCACCTCAACTGGCTATCCTTGTATTTTCTAAAATTTGATTCAATAATAAGTAATTCTAGGAAGGAACTCCGGACCAATTTTGTTGCACGACCTTTTTAAGTTGCTCAAATTCGTCCCTAACTTGATCGAATCTAGTATCCCATCAAAAGTATGTTGAGTCAAATTTCAAAAAAAAGACAATTTTAGGCCAAAAGTTTCTGCCTTCAACCGGATTATGCAAATGATATCAATTTTGTTAGGTAATCTAAGTATTACCAATAAATTTGTAGTTTTTTTAAATCAATCTTTTTACAAACAACTACAATTGAGACCAGCTTGAAAAAAAATATTTTTCTGACCATCGATTATCTGAACAAGTTTTTCTTTTGGTTTGGGTGTTCCATCCGTTGTTTTTAAGTATTAGTAATGGAAAGATTTTAAGTATGTCGCGAGCTATTTGGTGATATACCTGTTTCAAGTTCTTTCCATTACTTTGTGAATGATGTTGCGATCTTTGATTTTTTTGCAATTTATTTTTTTTGTTCTAAGTTGTTTCCCTCAATACTTAAGCTACATTCACCTAGATCTTCAACGTTTTGATGGCTTTCACACTTATGAAATCAACAAAAAATCGTTCACGGAACAAAGTATCCATTTGGAACAAAGAACGTGATTTGTACGCATTGTGAAGTAAATTACAGTGCTGATTTAAAATATCCGGACAAAACAAACAAAACTTAAATTTTCAAACGCGTTTTTCTCAATTTGCGTTAAAATGAGACAAAAAGTGAGGAGAACAAAAGTTGCTTAAAATTTCATCAGAATTAATATGGTGCAATCTTTTCTTCAAAGTTCTAAATCAAAATTTTACCCTAAAAATGAGTAATTTTGGCTTTTTTCAATTAATCAAGAATTACGGTGAAACTGCTTTATTAATTGATGAGGAATATATATCCTAAGAAGCCTCTTACACAGTCCAACAAAATTCAAGAAGGTTTAAATCTCCAAAACTTTGAGTAAATTGTTTAAAATTTGTTTTTAATCAAAAATTTTAGGGTTTTATATAGTAAAAATCACGTTTCTTGACTATCAAGCAAAAATATTTTCTCATCTACAGATTTTTGGAGATTTAACCCTTCTAGAACTCTGTTGGGCTGTGCAAGAGGATTCTTGTGATATATGTTCCTTGTCAATTAACAAAGTAGTTTCAGCGTAGTTTTTGATTAATTGAAAAAAGCCAAAAAAAAACATTTTTGGAAAAAATTTTGGTTGAGAATCTTGGAGAAAAAATTGCACTATATTAATTCTGATGAAAATCTAAGCAAATTTTGTTTTCTTCATTTTTTGTCTCACTTTAACGCAAACTGAGAAAAACGCGTTTGAAAATTCAAGTTTGGCTTGTTTTGTCCGGATAATTTAAATCAGCACTGTATGTATGTATACACACACGTGCAGAAAATTAGTGAATAAGGAAGGCATAACCGACATCATTTTCCCTAATAATTTACACTCTGAGTTGCTGCAACTTGACATGGGTTTATCATAGAAACTCCTGTAGATATTGTTTTCGATATCACTACTTTTTTCAGATTCTTTCCAAAGTTAGAACAGGGCGATTGCACTATAGAAGCGAGAGCTCTGCCTCGTTTTTCTTACTCATAGTCTTCAGTCTGTTTGAGAACCGTTTTAAATTATTTTTAAACAGAGTATAAGTCGATTACAAATCATGAAATCATGTAAGACTGCAGAAACGGAATCTCAGAATAATTAATTAAAAGCAAAGGAAACATGTTTAGAACAATACATGTAGACAGGCGCTGATCAAGGAATTTCCCGAGAGGGGGGGGGGGATTTTCAAAAAAAATTTGAAAATTTTGTTGATCTTTTTTTTTGGTAGACTAAATTGATTTTCTGAGCTCTTTTAAACCACTATAAAGACACTAATTTGACCAAATTTTCTGCGCCGCAGGCCAATTTTTGAAAAAAGGCCAAAAAAAATATGGATATCTCAAAACAATATGGATATCTCAAAATATGGATATCTCAAAATAGTACAAAGGGGGACCCTTTGGGTCGGCAGGGGGTCGAATCCCTGAAAAGAGGGCGTCCCCCCATCTCCCCCCCCCCCCCCCCCCCCCCCCCCACCACACCACCTAAATCCGCTACTGCATGTAGATAGAAACAAGTTAATATAATCTGATTTTTTGCCAAAGTAGGATTTTATTCATATGTGCACTGATTGTAGAAATATCTTTTCCTCTCTACTGTAATTGGACAACTGTCACGTGCAATTTCGGCTAAGGTGTAGTTGTCTGCAGTCAGTTCTATGGTTCTCTTGGCGTGTTTGAATGAGCAGAAAGTGGAAGTGTAATGGTAGAAACTGCAGTTATTTCTCACCTTCTCACCATGCTCGAAACACATACCACGATCGGCTGAATAATGAAAACTGGCCTTACATGATACAAAGCTGGCATGATAGTTGATGGATTGCATCATTGGGTCTTTCCCATTACAACCCCAAGCCTATTACTATAAAATTAAAGCCCCTTCTACACTATTTTTACTATTCTGTTATGGTGGGCTAAATTTCGCTTGGGGGGACTAATCTGGGGTGGATTTAGCGGGAATGGGGGATGTGTGTACGCTCCTTGTTACAGATTAGGCCTTTTTTCCTCTCGCCTAGGCCTTTTTTCCTCTCCCCGCCCACCTGCAAAATTTTATTCACAAGTAAATTTTTTGCTCACATTGTACGATTCTTATGAAAATTGACATACAGAAAAATTAAGACATGATAAGCATATTTGATTTTCATAACTAACCTTGTAAAATCACTGGTAAATCACAAGTTACCCTATTTTGACCAATATTTGCCCCCTTCCCCCTCCCAAAACTTAGTATGTATTGGCGCCAAAGGAGAGAGTACCACAGAATACCAACGGCCTTAAAAGAAACCACAGGCTCCTCCCCTAAATCCGCTCCTGGCTAACACTTATTGAATTCCCTCGGGGATTAGTTTTTTTAAAACATTTATAGGTCATGAAAAAAAACATAGTTGCCTAGCTGTTGTAAGTTACGCCTAAAATGAGCGTCTATGTCACTTTGCATGCAGTTTAAAAACTTACAATTTCAACAATTTTTTTAGGGTTCGTTGAATGCTTTTCAAAGTTATCCAGAAAACGCGTCGCTTACAAACCTAATATATTAACATCGCAACACTTAAACTCTTCTGTTGACGCCTTCACAGTTTTCGGGTCAACTCCACACTGGTTGATGCAATACTTCGAAATCTCCCTGTAGAATATTTTCAGAAGTGACCCATAGATAAACGAATAATAGCCATCGAACATTTTAGAAACCACCATTTGCAAAAGTGGATGACCTTTAGGAAAAGCCATGAACGAACTACTGTATAACCGGAATTCGTCGCTTTTAGGCATACGCGCTATAAAAGGCAAATAACTCTCCAACTGAGGTAAATTTCTCCTTAAAATAGCGTCCGTGTCGCTGTGCATTCCACCATATTTATACGGCAACACAACTCTGAGCACATCTGAAATATGGGTCAGTTTATATCTTGATGACAAAAAGGATCTTTCAGAAGGCGCGATTCCGCTGCCGTTTAAGATTTCTTCGATTTCGACGTTGTGAATTGCGATGTTTTTCAACTTGTCCCCCAGCGTTGCCCGCAGTTCGGCTTCGTAGCAGTTCTTCTGGAAGGGGTTTCCAAAAGGCGATTCTGACACGAGTAGGAACCTTAAATACGACGCAAAAAATCAGAATGAAGCGAATTCAAATATTGATAGCAAACGGTATTCTGCAAACATATGATATGCCACACATTCGAAAAGGACAAAAACAGAGGAAATATCCAAAAAATACATTTATTAGGGCAAATAATGAAAATTTTAAATTTTTTTTTCGAAAAGATTATATATACTGTTTGCTGGAAAATAAATAACGTTTTTAGTCGAAATTGAAATCCCTTAAGGGGAGCGGTGGTTAACTGGTTATTAGAGGAGCGGTGGTGAAGTGGTTAGGTATCCGCCCGTCAATCGAAAGGTGGGATGTTCGAAGCCCAACATGATCCGTGCTCGTTGCTTGAGGGTGAAGCAACATTACCCAGCCCAGCAAAATAACCAAGAAAATAACATGTAGTTCTTAAACAGGGGCACAACAGCGGATCACCGTGATGAGCTGTACAGCTCTTGTGTTGGTCCTTTCCCCCGTGGATAAATGGTCTTAATTTTTAAAATTGCCAACTATAAACAAGGCTAACCTAACCGTATGCTGTGTTTTTTTTTTAAATTCTGTCATTTTTCTTCGTGCTGTGATGAGGAAATGTGAACGAATTGTCATATAATTATGTTTCAGTCATTTAAAATTCGAAATGTTTGAAGCGAGAGAAATTTGACGGTTCAAACTTTGTAAATGATCAAGTTTTTTTTCAAAAAACTATTGGAGACCAATTAAAAGGCAGTCGAAACATTCGGGGCTTCACCATGGTATACCAACACGAGCTGTCTTGTATATTTTACCTTGCACCTGGGTCTTTAAACGTGCTAGGCCATTCAGTTCTTCGCCTGATAGGAGCAGTCCTGTTTAATAATAACTGTTGGAAAGGGTGCGCTAAATATTGTTATGGCAAGGTTTGGGAAATAGCTGGAAAACTAGAAATAGCCGGACTGAATTAAGTCTACAACTTCTTCCACTCCCATGCCCGGTCAAAAAATTCTGTGCATGCCACTATTAAAACTAAAAAAAGCATGATAAAAGTTTAGATGAGAAATCTCACCTGACACACCACGTGGGCATTTTGGCCGCGTAACTCTCAATAATACACAAGTTTTGGGCTGATAAAGTCGTCTGGCTACTGTTCAGCTCCATCATCCAAATGTTTTTACTCAAAGTCCAATCATCCGGACACACCGTCTCATCGTGATTAGACTCCAAACTATGAGTACAGTTTTGGGTGTCTATATCCTCGGATATAAGCTTTCCTTCGAAACTGGCAGAGTGTAGGACCATAGGTAAAGATTGGTAGTTTAAGGTAACCATGATCATAAACAGTGTGATCAATGAACAGGTAACGTATAACCGCTGAAACAGTTTCATTTTTACTGGTTTCAATTTCAAATGGTCTACTTTAATTGAAAGCATTTTTATATTTGTTTTCCAATAAATTAATCAATTTCTATATTTGTTTTAAGTATTAGAATTGGTAAGAACGATGTCAATTTTCAAGATTTGAATACATTTCCAATAGACATTTTAAATAAATGAATATATAAACAAAGTAAAAGGTAATTAAATCAGCGTTGAAACAATAGCTCCTGTGAATATGTTCAATTATACCCAATTATTTGTTGATTTGAACGTCGATTTTACCAAGCTCATAATTTTTGAAAAGTTAGCGGAAATTCTGAAAAAATGTGGTTTTCAAGAAACTTTTTTCATTTTTAATATTTTACTTTGCGCCTTGCTTTTTTACTTTTCGCAAACTGGGTTCTAGGGTTCATATAGTACGTCGGTAGCGTTAGATAATGATTTCAAGCCCTTTCCAAATATAACGAACATCAATTGTATAACTGGGAACCAATTTAGTTGGCTTAGTTATATTAATACAGATACAAATTTTTATTTATATTATTTTTTAAGTTTCGAGGAGTTGCTTTGATGAGTTGATGAATATAATCCTGCAAACAAATTCGCTCTAATGACGAAACAGTCTTTCTCACAGATTTGACCAAAACCTTGAGCAGATTTTTTTGAAGCACCATTATCTCGCCAAAAATATTGACAAAGTGAAAAAAATGGATGAAAAAGTTTTCAGTTGGAATTTCAGCTTCCAAATTGTTTACAATTGCGAGAGAAAGTGTCATCCGCCTTAGCAGCTGGACTTTTCCGCCAAGAAATCTTAATTGTGCGCATGAGGAAAAATCTAATGGTTAAGCAGTTCGTTAGATGACATATACTGAAAGATAAATTTCACTCAAAAACTGAGATGATGTTTTCTTCGTGAAAAGCTTCTTTTACGTTTTATGTTGCTTTGTTCACCCTCCGTTATGAACTTTTTTTGATACCAGTGACTTCAGTCCACAGTCTCCAGTAAATTTTATAATAGAGCATTACAAAAAAATAGCTCTCAGTTTTGATTAAAAAAATAAAGCTCAAATTTTTCATTGGAAACAATCTGGAATTAAACCGTATATTCTATCAGAAATTCACTTAAGGTAAAAGTTTCAAAAACTTTTTTGAAGAATTCTGGGATGACCTCTTAGTAATCTTCGATAGCTTGGGACACATAAACGCAAAAATAGAAAACGAAAGTGGGAGTCATTAGAGAAGTTTTGGCGGAGCATCCGTAGAAATAGTCAGGAAATGTGGGAGATGGCTCAATAGGTACTTGAGACATGTTTATAACCATTTGAAAATAGTTTGATTGATACGAAATCATAAACTAGTTTTTCCAAAGAATGGTGAACGCAAAAATTTACAATATCAAAGCTTAAAAATTACATTCAGAGTGGAAAAATAATCAATAAAACTGAGGCGAATAAAAGTAAAAAAAGCTATTGCGTACAATATTAAGATGCTGCGGAAAACAGTTTTTGCTATTCAGATACAAGGCTAGAGCACCCACCAACCCTGGTAACTCGCTTTCCTAAAAAAAATTGCCCAAAAAAATTTGGAAAAAAAAACATTTTTTCAAAAAAATTTCGAGAAAAAAAATGCTGGACATTGCTTAATTGATCCGAGCGATAAAATGGTACTGAGTTGGAATTTTTCCCCATTTTCTTTTGAAAGGCTCTATGTCAGCCTTCTACTGAATTATTAGTTTTTGTTGGCCATTTTTTGCGTATTTGCATTGTTTCCACAAACTTTGGTCCCAACCGAAGTTGACTTAAAATAACCAACATATTTCATCAATAAGGAATTGTCCGACTCGTCTTAAATTTAAGCGCATAGGGCAATGAGACCTAATTGAAATTTCGGTATGAGTGCCAGGCTCACGAAAAATTTCACCGAAAGGAGCGTGGGAGCCAGTCCAATTTACAGATTTTTGCGCCACTTTACTTCAGCGCAAGTTTTTTTTGAAAAGTATTTACAGAAGCTTTTCAAATTCCAACTCAATGTGTGAGTGCTCTAAACTTGGATTCAATTCCTTCAGTTGTCGAAATCTGCAAGTATATTGAATGACGCTATTGCTATGAGAATCTTGAGAGCTGGTAATTTGACCCTCGCATATCAAATAAAAACTACTAATTATCGTATGAATCATTGCCCCGCGCGAGTCGTCGTCTTTTCAAAAAAAATGCGAATTGTCGCTTTTCGACCTATTGTTGCTTTTGACGAGTTGTCGTCTCGCGGTATTCAAGATAATGTTTGAACTTCTTGAAGACCTAAATATGGCATGATTAAACAAAAGGATGTAACAATCAATCTTAAAATGACATTTGTTTCAGCCCAGTAACTCTCTTGAAAACAAAATTAACAGCAGTTTCAACGTCAAAAACTCCATCATTAGACATCAAAAAGAAGGTTAACAGCTGTATGAAGCTCAGTTTTTTTGAAATCATGCCTAGCTGTTTAGCCAGCGAATGACACGGTTTCTAAAGTTTGTAAAATTGGAGGACATTATTTTAAGAATTGTAAAGTTGGTCGTTAATAGTCGTAACCAACTGTAAAATTGGTCGTCTGCATAACTCCTGGCAAAACTATACTCATTTTGAACATTTTAAAAAATTTATGTAACTTTTAACACGTTTGCAAAAATTAACTCAGAATTTTTTTTGCAAGATGCAAAAATTCGCTTGGTTTTTCCAAGAAGTATGAAAGATAATAATTCATTTGCGAAAAGTGCGAAAATTTTTTTGAAATTTGTAATAAGTATGCAAAAATAATTAGGAAATTTTTTGTAAAATATAAGTTTTTTTTGTTGTTTTTCGAAAAACATGCAAAAATCTAACTTCTTTTTTCTTTAGCATATGCGAAAAATGCAAAACTTTACTTTAAGAAACGTGTTACAACATTGTTAAAAAACCTTCGATATTGATAAACACCTTTCTTAGTGCTATTCCCTTTCTTAATGCATTGTTTTTTTTTCATGTTTCTGATGAAGATAAAAGCAAAAATTGGACTTCTTAACGATAAAATTAACAACAACGAAATCCATGAATTTTAATTATTAACAATGTACGAAAATCTTGTTACAGTTTTCTTTAAATTGCGAAATAATTTAAAGAAAGTTTTCTTAAAATGCGAGATTTCATTGATTTTCTTAACTTGTCTGCTAAAAGTATTATGAAAAGCCTTGTAACATGCAAAAACGGTTTCAATTTTTAACAAGTTGTTATGATTTGTTTGTGTAAAATGTAACATTTTTTGAGGTTTTTCGAAAAAAAAATATTTTCAAAAGTCCAAGGTTATGATTTCAAATTAAAATGCGAAAAAACGCAATTTTTTTGTAAAAAGCTATTTACTTTTTTTGCTAAGAAATATCCGATATTGATGACTTTGAGTGCTATTCGCTATCTTAATGCGATGTTTTTCTGAAGTTTTGGATCAACATACCTGCACAAGGTGGATATCTTAACAATCAAATTAAAAACAAAGAATTTCATAAACTTAAATTAGTTATAGTGTAAGAAAGACTTGTTACAAATTTCTTTCAATTGCAAATTAATTCATTGTAATTTTTATTAAGATGCGATTTTTTTTTTTCAACATGTGTGCTGAATATATTATAAAAATTTTTGCAATATGCACAAAATGTCTTGACTTTTAACAAGCATGCAAAAATATGTATGATTTTTTTTGTTGTTTTTCCAAAAACATGTTCAAAAACCTAACTTTTTTGCCTATTGATGTGCGAAAAACGCAAAATTTCATTTTAATAACTTATTTAATTTATAGTAAGTTAAATTATTTTTAAAATGTTTTCATTATTGGTGACTTTGAGTGCTAATCCCTATCTTAATTCATTGTTTTTCTGATGTTTTCGATCAACATACATGCAAAAAATGGAATTTCTTGCATGTATGAAATACATGTGCCAAAAAATTATTGTACAGTTTTCAACATGTGTGCAAAATTGTTAATAATTTTTTCACATGTGTGCAAAAAATGTTGTAAGAATTTGTACAAGATTTTGAAAATTATTTAATGTTTTCATTACTGGTGACTTTGAGTGCTAATCCCTATCTTAATTCATTGTTTTTCTGATGTTTTCGATCAACATACATGCAAAAAATGGAATTTCTTGCATGTATGAAATACATGTGCCAAAAAATTTAATGAATTTTTTCTTAAAATGCGAAATTTTTTTGATTTTTTAAAAACAAGTGCTACACACTGTGTAATAAAATTTGCAAGGAGCAAAAATTATTGCGCAGTTTTCATAATGTGTGCAAAATTGTTAATGAATTTTTTCACATGAAGGCAAAAGATGTAAAATTTTTTACAAGACATTAAAATTGATTTAAATTTTTTATTATCTTTATAGAAAATTGTTGTAAGATAGTTTGAATCGTTTGATTTTTAACCCGCGTGCAAAACTTTCTTTACCAACTTTTCTATGAACTTTTACCTTATTCTTGCATGTATGAAATACACGTGCCAAAAAAAATTGAGGAAATTTTTCTTAAAACGCGGAGGTTTTTTGATTTTTTAAAAAACAAGTGCTACAAACTGTGTAAAAAAATTTGCAATGAGCAAAAATTATTGTACAGTTTTCAACATGTGTGCAAAATTGTTAATAATTTTTTCACATGTGTGCAAAAAATGTTGTAAGAATTTGTACAAGATTTTGAAAATTATTTAAATTTTTTACCATGTTTATAGAAAAAATGTTGTAAGATAGTTTCCTTCGTTTGATTTTTAACCCGTGTGCGAAATTTTTTTAACATACTTTTCTATGAACTCTTACCTTATCTATTTGTTCCTAGTTTTTAAAAATACAATTACTAGATGCAAAGAAATTTTACAAAACACAAGACAACATGTTATGCAAATATACTAGATGCAAAGAAAAATTACAAAACACAAGCTCGATTCTAATTGGGTTCTCCACAGATCTTTCTCCTTTCAACGGAAGAAGGAAATTGCTTACATGTTGAGTCACATATCTGGAGTCAAGAACCTTGAGATATCATTCAAAATTACGTCTAGAATTCTAGTTATGATAAATTCTGATCGGTTCAAAACAAAACTGCTGAAAATTCCCTGAGAAGAAAAGCTTGATTTTGGTTCGCTGATATCAAAATTTTTGAAATTTCCAGGATAGTAAAGCTCGGATCTCACTGATTGAAATCAAAAATTTTAAAACTTTTATGGTTGCATTGATTTTTGTTGATTTAATTTTCAGCTAGACCAAATAAGTTGAAATCCATTCTGATTGTCTTTCACTTTGAAAATAACTCTTCAAGAAATTTGCTGTTTTTGTTTTTTTTTAATCTTTTTTTGGAGCTATTTAAGTCTCCTAATAAAATTTTTGGGACTTTCGAACTATCCCATTTGTTCTCAAGTTATTTCTTTTTAAACTAAGTTGCCCTCAATGAAAGTAAATGAAATAGTTGGATGTATTGTATGTGACAGAGACTATAGACTTAAGGATGCGTCAAGTCATCATGAAAACTGTTGAATTTTAAAGTGTCCAAATTCTAATTTTCACTTATATAGCAGCAAAGAATTGAATACTCATATCAAAATGAAGCATTCCTTTTGTCAAAAAATATGTAACATTCGTCTACTGCAGTCACACATGAGGCTTAAGAAAAATAGGCCCTATAACCACTGGCTCAAGGGTCAGGGACACCATCTCTTGTGTTTTTCTACCTCAAGAACGGTCGGAGCCAGTTCGGTTCGTTTGTGACATGAGACTACGACCCGTTACAGCTTAAAGGCTACTACTAAAATATCCCCCCACTCTAGAATTAGAAACGTCCCCATACTTAGGTCTCTAGATACCCAAAATACATGAACGCCGTTAAAAACCGGGCTGGAACAATCCGTTAAGTTACTTTTTATTAGACAGTGTAACTTTGATCCATTTCAGATGGATCAACCTAAAACTCGCCTTACCTCAACATAACAATTATAAAACACACTCTAGAAATTTAAATTAGTACTCACATTGTAGCACACTCAAGAAGGGGAAGTACTTCAGTCGGTAATTAACTCAAGAATTAAATAATGTAACTAAATGAGTTTTAATGTTAATCAGTTTCAATAACGAGGACAAGTCTTAACTCTAGGATATAGTTTCTCGTGAACCATTGGGACACTCAAGTTGTCCACCTTTCCGTCGAAGGTTCACTCTGGTCCAGCTCAAATAATCGTTCTCTCGGGAATACTCTGTCTTCTATTTCAGATGGGACAGCTCTACTCTTGTTCACTATGATGGAAATTGCGAATAGCAATTTCCTACCGATTTCTCTTGCAACTTTCCCGCGTTTTTCACTCGAACGTTCTGACTTCTCTTTTCTGATTTTCAGTTATCGCGAGAAAATCGTGCATGACAGGTTCCATTCGAAATTTTGAAAAATTAAATTTCACTCCAAAATCAAGTGTTTTTTGCTTCTCTCAAGGTCAAACTTCCGAATATGACCGACTGGCACAATATTCTACATGGTGCTGGAAAGCACACTCAGCCGTCTCCAAACGAACTGCACGAAAACGGTAAATTCAATAATA